TTTTTTTTTTTTTTTTTTTTTTTTTTGTAACAGGGATTAAACTTGGGACCTTGCACTTGTGAAGCAGGTGGCAGCACCGCTGAGCTAATTCCCTAGTGAGAACCTTCTTTCTCCCTAAGCAAGCGTGACTCAAAAGCACAACTGACTTGTTTATTCTGACCTGGCAAGAGGGACCAGTCCTTAGATTGCTATTGTGTTGAAGTTAGAGATGGGGAAATGTGCTATCTGCAAAGATGAGTAAGACCCAGCCCAGCTTTGAGCCTTCTGTGGCTCTGGTGAGAGGGAAACAAGGCAGTAATTGAGATGGGAGGGTCAGTATCACACATGGTCAAGAGAGTGGCAGGGCGGCCTACTGGTTAGGAGCACAGGCTGTGGGATGGCCCTGAGGTCAAATCCCTCTTGGCACGTTACTTCACCCCTCTGAGCCCTAGGATAGGCACACAGAGGGCCTTGTGAGAGCCATAGGGGTGCTGCTGTGTCCTTGGGCTCTCCAGAGCCTAGTGCTGCACGTTAAGGGCCTTTCCGATCATGGTGCACCATGAATAACACATGGCTCTTCCCTTGATGGCTCTTCTGTTTGTGTCCCCACCTTTTCCAGCCTTCAGCTGGCTGAGCTTCTCATTCATTTATTGATTTGTTCAGTCAGTAAATATCTGTGGAGTACCTGCTGCTTCCATGTGTGGGGATGCAGCAGCCCCAAAGCACTGATGCTGCCCCTGGACGTGTGCCCCACAGCAGAAGGACCCGCAGGTCGCCGTGGGGCGGATGTCCAGCCCCATCATTTCAGGTAGTAAGAAGTGCTGTGAGAGGTGGCAAAACAGTCAGGTGATAGAAAGTACTGGGGTGGCTGTTCTGAGCAGGCAATGTTGCATTTGAACCCAGAAAAAAATAGCCTCTGGAGGAATTCCAGGAGGAGAATATGATGAGTCGAGCTTGTGACCCTATAGAGGATTATTTTCTTCCACTGGTCCTCATACCACGCTACACCCAGGCCAGCCCATGTACTGACCCTCTGTGGGTGATGTTGGCCAACGTACAGGGGCCTCACGGTGTGGGCACTGGCCTCCTGCAGTAGACCTCCTCCCCTCAGCAGGCCTGTCCTGTGCAGTGGGGCATCGCATGTACAGTGTGGGGTGGGTCAGACCACCTTAATAGCCAGCAGCCAGACACAGTACTCGCCATGCGTCAGGCACTGGTCTAAGCAGCTGCCTATTTGATGGGCATGGGAACTGAAATAGTAGGATATTACGTGACTTGCCCAAGATCATACTGTTAATAGGAGAGCCAGCCGGGTGTGGTGGTACACGCCTATAATCCCAACACTCGGGAGGCTGAGGCAGGAGGATCGCGGTGAGTTCAAGACCAGCCTGGACTACATAGTGAGTTCCAGGTCAGTCTCAACTACATAGTGAGACCCTGTCTCAAAAAACAAAAACAAAAACAAAAAAACAAAAAAAATAGGAGAGCCAGGACTTGACCCCAGACTGTCTGGCTCCTGAGGTCGTGCTCGTGGCCACTCTGCAATACCAGGTCCCTGCTGTGGCTGTGCAGCACATTCAGCAATCCCATCGCAGTAACGGTGCCCTCCTCTTAACATTTGCCTTTCATCCCCAGCTGGAAGGATGGTCTTGCTTTCAATGCCCTCATCCACCGGCACAGACCAGAGCTGATTGAGTACGACAAATTGAGAAAGGTATGCATGTCCAGCTCCCTTTGGGCCACCATCCCCAAAGGCCATCCATTGCCAGCCTCCACTACTGAATTCTTGCTCACCGGTTAGGCTGGGAGAGCCTCATGCCAGCGCCCCCAGGTCCCTGGTTTGCTGGCTGACTCTCACCTCCCTTATTCCTTGGGGACTGGTCCATCCCCCTCCATGGGCATTGCAGCCAGCCAGAGCTATTTTAGGGCCAGTCCTACATGCCTTCTAATTCTCCTTGATTTTGTGGATTCTAGAAACATTCCTTTTCTGCCCAAGGCAGGGGAAAGTAGGGAGTTCCAAACCATCAGCCACCAGCCAGCATTTCCTGGGCAGAATCCTGCTCTAGTTTTCCTGTACAAAGCATGGAAGAGCCAGGCCCTGCCCTCTCAGAGCTCCCAACCACATGGAAAGATGGGAGTGTGTCCAAAGCAGCCAGCCACACAGCTCATGCAGCGTGTGCTCAAGCCAGTGGGGTGGGAGGGCTGCAGAAGGAGAACAGTGCTCCCTGAGCTAACAGGACAGGTAATGACCCCTGGAGGAAGTGGCAGCTTTAGTCAAAGGAAGGCATTCGGGAGACAGCCTGCATCTCGCCTGTTCTGGCTACAGTGAGAAAGTGAATTACACTCCAGCTGGAAATTGTTGGGGAGGTGAAGAAGATCAGGGTGTAGTAGACTACTGAGCCCCATAGTAGTGAAGAGCCCATAAAGGAGCCCAGTCCCTTAGAGGAAGGAATGTAGGTGTTCTGGGTTTGTTCCCCCACCCACCCCAGTGCCCTCTCAGGCCTGGACTGTGTGCCTACCTGGGTTCAGATCAGAGCACTAATCTGAGGAAGGCCTATGGGTGGCTGGAAATTGTAAGAAACAGGTATCTTTCTGAACAAAAAAGTTCATAGCATGCCTCACTTTGGGTAAGAATGGGATTTGTAGGTGTGCCCTCCTCCCCGCACAGCACACGGGGCTGAGAACTCCTAAAGGACCCTTTCCAGCTCTGTCCCTCAGGGCTTCCCCCTTCCCAGGCCAGCCCTTGTGCCCTTGTGCCCTTCTACCCCACCTCTGACCCCTTACCAAGTTCTTCCTGTTTCCCCCTCTGTGTCTTCCCAGGACGACCCAGTCACCAACCTGAACAATGCCTTTGAAGTGGCTGAGAAATACCTCGACATCCCCAAGATGTTGGATGCGGAAGGTAAGTGCATGTTTTTCGTCTTCCCTGCAGGCCTCATCTGTCGAGGCTTGTCTTTGAATGAGGGCTCATGGGCTCCTCAGAATTTAGGGGCAGCAAGGAGGGCTGAATGGGTCTGAGTGGACAAGGGCATCCTAAGGACAGTTGTGTCCTCATGGGAGCCAGATGGAGCAGGGCAGCCTGAGCCAGCCAGATGTACTAAAGGATGGCGAGGGAACAGGGGGAATTGCTTGAAGGGTCAACCCTCTCGGGGCTTCATCTTGGGCCTGAGCTCAGGGCAGGGGTGAAGTGGCCAAAGAGGGCTGGCTCCAGGCTTCCTGTGAGCCACCCCAGCCTCTCCCCTCCCTGCCTGTGGAGCCCTCCAGAGTGGAATGTTTTGTTTTTTCCTTTTCCGCTTTGCTCCATTTCCCAGGCAGCACCACCCCAGCAAAGACCCATATCTCTGGCCTCTGGTGGCCCTCAGGGTTGACTGTCTTGCAGCCCCTTGAGATCGTTCTCCAAAGGAAGCAGCCTCATATTAATGCAGTTCCCACAGCCTTGGCCTTTCCCAAGACCATGGGGGTGGGGTGGTGCTGAGGTTGTGGCCGAGCCCACCCAAGTCATCAAGTGCCTCTGACTGCTCTGAGGGTCCTTCTCACAGGACCACTGTGGCCTTGGGAGCCCGAGGGTCCTGGTGAGCAACGCCCCCACCCCTTCTCGGGCGGTTTAACCTTGTTATTCGCTTACAGACATCGTGAACACGGCCCGGCCCGACGAGAAGGCCATAATGACCTATGTGTCCAGCTTCTACCATGCCTTTTCGGGAGCGCAGAAGGTACCGGGCAGGGCCAGGCAGGCCCTCCTCGCCGCCACTGCCCAATGCCGCTGCTACTTTCGCCTCCCACGCTCACCTCATTTTTCTTGCAGACGGCAGTGGCCTCTCTCTGGTGACTGGAAGCCACCCCCCTCTCCCTGGGCATTGCTGCCCACTCAGTCCTTGCTCACAAAACCTGTTGAGCTCCTAGTCTGTGCCAGAGTCTAGTGCAGGCAGTGGGGATGGTTGTGACTGAACCAGGCAAGGTCACTGCTGTAAGGAAACTCACATCCTAAATAGTGAGACAGACAGCACACATCAGTGGAGAATGTGTTGCATGTGGTGAGAAGCATGGTAGAGAATGCAGGACAGGATGGGGGTAGAGGCGCCTGGGTGACTTTTACCTGGGATGTTTGTTTGTTTATTTATTTATTTGGGTACTGGGGATCGAACTCAGGACCTCACACTTGCCAGGCAGACATTGTGCGACTGAGCTACATCCCCAGCCCAACCTGGGATATTTTAGCAGGAAGGGGTGACATGAGCAGGCTCTTCCAGTGATGAGGAGCTGAGCTGCAAGTGAAGATTGTGGTGAAAGCATTCCTGGGAGAGGGTGAAGCCACGCAAAGGCCCTGAGGCAGGAATACATTGGCTTATTCAAAGACAGGCTAGAGGAGGGGAGAAGAGGTAAGAAGCCAGGCCTGAAGGATCATTGTAGTTTAGGATAAGAGATTGTGTTTTACTCTGAGGCAAGACCATCGCAGATAGTCAGAAGTTACATATGGCACAGTCCCATTTAGGTTTTCATAAGGAAATCCAGTACTGACTCCTGGCCCAGAACGAAGGACACTATAGAGGCTGTGGCCGGTCTGTTTCAAACCCTGGCTCGGATGGAAAAGGAAGGCATCTCATTGGGACCCTTCTCTCTCCCTGACACACCTTGGCAGGCTGCACCTACCCAGGCCTGAGCCAGGGCTGGCTTCCAGTCCAGAGCAAGCGCTATTCCTCCTGCATGAGCCTCCAGCCGGGCGGCCGCCCTCCCTGCATCTTTCACTCTCTCCTGCCTCTCTCTTTCTCTCTCTCTCTCTCTGCGCAGATATTGTGGGCACTCTGAGGCCAGATGAGAAGGCCATCATGACTTACGTGTCCTGCTTCTACCACGCTTTCTCGGGGGCCCAGAAGGTGAGCTGGGGCGAGTGGACCCCTCGCTGCTGTGCTGCATACTTGCCCTCTGTGTCACCCTCACATCACCACCGTCTGTTCATGTGTGATCGGAGCCTTGGCAGGGCCACCTAGGCAGGCGTCCCATGACCACAGGGTCCTCCATCTTCCTGCTGTCTGGCCAGCGTGGAGCTGTATAAGGGCCCACAGATGATCTGCCTTTAAGTATGCCCGCCCTGTGAGCTGGGTGTTGGAGTCCCAGATGGTCAGACAAGGGAACAGAAGCCCAGTGTCACAGTTTGGAGTTGACCACTTCGCTGTCCTGCCTCCTCTGGTTGTGGCCCGTGCATACTGGCCCTCTTGCCGGGGAGAACTGCAGCTTCTCCAGAAGCCCCGCTGGTGGTAGACAGCAGGCAACTCTTCCCGAGCCTGGCTGACCTTGGGCCGCCCCCACGGGTCCTATCGGGCTGTCATTTTCACATGGAGGTCTGGGCACCTGTCTTCCTTGCTGGTCTCCAAAGTGTCTCAGGCATGCACCTGCTGACTTGATTGCGTGTTAGCACTTGGCAGGTGGGCAGGGGAGGAGGAGCCAGTGCTTGTTTCCTGAACACTTGCCCCCGTGGCACCCTCTAAAGACGTCGCATGCCTGGGCCCTCTGAGTCCCTGTGTGCTGGATGTGGTTGTGCCCACTGAGAAGAGGAGGACATTGCAGTCCACCACTGTGTGTAGACCACTTGAGTGGAGCCCCACACCCGTCAGAGGTGGCACTGTAAGCCCATGGCCTGGCCCTACTCCGCCACCTCTTGGTCCCTTTACCCCAGTTTCCTCATCTGCGAAACAAGGAGCACCTTGTCCAGCGCTCAGGGTACTAAGGGTGAGATGAGCTCCCACTGGTGAAGGGCTGGCCACAGAGCCCAGCAGAGTGAAGGCTATGTAAATGGCCAGGGTGTCACGGGCCTGCGGGCTGCCACTGCTCAGCCAGGGGTGAGGATAGTTCTTCCCTGACCACATGACGAGTGGGGCCCTTCACCTACCCAGCATGTGACCGGAGCCTGTGTTGTTGATGGGCACAGTGTCGGGGGCACCCAGGTCGGGGGGCAGGATGGGAGTGATGGAAGATTCCTTCCCACGAACCTCAGCTAACTGTATGTTCGCTCTCTGCCCACCACATTGCCCTTACCAGACTGCTTTTTCTTCTACTCAAAATGCCATTTGTGCTTGATGCTGCACTCTGGTGCAGTGGGCCTGGGGATTGTAAGAGCGGGTCCTGGCAAGGAAGTCCAGGTCAGAGCATTTGGGGTACTTTAAGGCAGCTGGGCCCAGAAGGCTATTCCTGGCCATTATGAGGGAGGAAGTTGAGGTCAGCCTACAGGGAGCTGCTGGTTCAGGAGAGTGTTAGTTGGCCTGCCTTTACTGCCAGGCGTGGTGTTGCACACCTGTAGTCCCAGTACTCAGGAGGCTGAGGCAGGAGGATCATCTTAAGTTGAAGGCCAGCCTAGGCTACACAGTGAGACCTGGTCTCAAAACACCATCCTTTTGTGGTTCTGAGTGTACCTCTGAAGACAGCCTTGGGGTGTTTTTTGTCACGGCATTCCTGTCCCCAGAAATTTGTGAACTCTAAAGAGCACTGTTGGGATTTGTTTCCTACACACAGGGTGAGCCCCAGGCTTAGCAACAAATGTGCCCTTCTCTCCTGGTGGTTATTTCTAGACATTAATGCATTTGCTCCTCACCATTCAAATGCTCCTCACCTTTTGCTCCTAACCCTGAGCACCCACCTTCAGTGAAAACAAGCTCCTCTGATCGGCAGCAGCATGGATGTGAGCTTGGGGTGCCAGGTCTCTGCCACCTCATGAGCCACACCGCAGGTTGTGTTCTCTGCCCTAGGTTGGGGCTGCTGTCCCGGCAGGGCCCCTGTGAACGGCACTCAGCAGCATTTCCTGGCACCCTGGGTGTGCATCCTGCATCCTGCTGTTTGGAAGCCCTGTGTTCACTCATCTAGCCTTGGTGGCCCCTGCCTCCCCGCCTGTCCCTGTGCAGTGTGTGGATGGGAGAGGCGGGTGGTGGTACCTGTAGTGACCTGGAGCCATCTCCCAAGCCTCTCTGTTTTCCTCCCCGTCACTCTGTAGACCCTCTATTTCTGTTCCTGTTCTGTTGCTGTTTCAACTCCTCTCGGACCCTTTCTGTGCTTCTTGAAAGGTACCTGGTCTCTTCTCCCTGTGTGGCGCCCTCCCCTCCTGCCGCACATTGTCCGCTTCCTCAGCAGGACAAGGCGGGACGTGCTCCTCTAGTTCAGGGCCAGGCGCTAATTCCCATCTCCAAAGCCCTGGCTCCCACCTGTCCCATGGACTCTGACTGCTGCCCGCATGAGCTCCTGGTGACACCCACCCTGAGGGCAAAGGAAGTGCTGTGTGCCTGTACTGAGTACCATACTCCTCCAGGACACAGCACCCAGCTCCCTACACTGTCTACCCACCTTGGGGAAGCCCTTCCAGGACTGAGGCCCAACACAGCCTCACAGGGCACTGGAGGACTGTTCTGTAATGGGAGGGCTCTCCAGCCCTTTTCGTAGGGGCCAGCTCCCTGGGTGCGGGGTGTTTTGCAGTAAACTAAGGAGGCCTGCAAGGCCTGTTAGGTCTCGGCCACTCAAGGCCATCTTGCTGGAGCTGCGTTTCCTCTCTTCTCCCTCCTTGGAGAGTTCTGTGTGGGCAATGGACAAACTGCTTTCAGAGGACGTGCCTGTCCGTGGGGAGGGTCAGCAGTCACAGCAGCGCTCACTGAGTGTGTTTCCCCAGGCTGAGACTGCTGCCAACCGGATCTGCAAGGTGCTGGCTGTCAACCAGGAGAATGAGCACCTGATGGAAGACTATGAACGACTGGCCAGCGATGTGAGTGTGCCCCTCTCCTGTCCCTGTGGCCTCAGTGGAGCTAGAAGATAAGGTCATCACTGAAGGTCTTGGAGACACTTGCAGGAAGAAAGCAGGACCTTCTAGAAAATCCACAAGGGTCTAGACCTTTCTAGAAGAAAGGAGTTTGACCAACTCAGGATGTGACCTTTAAAAGCAGAGGGTCAGACAGGTGATCACCATGCCAGAGAGAGAGAGCAATGCTACTCTGCTACAGCCATCATTTTTAACGCCAGGGCAAGGCAAAAGGTTATATTCTTAGCGTCCAGCCATTGTCAAGAAAGCGCCATTGACAGTATACTAAGATACATGCTATGGCCAGGCGTGGTGGTACACATCTGTCATTCCAGCTACTTGAGAGGCTGAGGCAGGAAGATCATAAGTTCACACTCAGCCTGAAAAAAATTAAATAGGGCCGGGGATTTATTCTCAGTGGTAGAATGGTAGAACACCCCTAGATTCAATCCTTAGTACCAAAAACAAAAACAAAAAACAAGCATACTATGCAGACATCTCAGGCCTTAGTTTTCTCACGATACTAGGATTAGTGTTTAGGAACCACTTCTCTGGGAATGTCTGTACTGAAAACTAACTGGCTTCACTCTCCTGGGATATTTTGCTGTCTAATCTATTTGCTTCTTTGAACCCTTGCTCACTTCATCAAAGACCAGAGTAGTTTATAAGAATACATGTTACTTTTTCCATTTTCTAATTTTTATGTTCCACGCCTTGTGTCCACATTGGCCACCCTTGAGTTTTGTGGGGACAGCATGGGCTCTTGCCCTGTGGCAGTTACATGGTCACTGAGCTAGGCAGTGCAGCTCTCAGCTGAGTTCGGTAAAACCAGCTGCACTGCAGTCGTGTGTAACTGTGGTTGGGAGCTTCTGAGGGGGCATTTGAGTTGATCCCACCCACTTAAATCTGAGAAAAGAAGATTTAAGAGCAAAGGCATAGATGGGAAATAGCCTGAGAGCGGCAAGTGGCTGGGGGGTGGGAGGGAGGACATGTTCCCAGTTACAGGCTATGGAATCCCTTAGGAATCATGAAGTTGGACTGGGGACTCCCCTAGAGATAGGGCCCTTTAAGGTCCAAAGACATGTTCAGTTACAGGCTATGGAATCCCTTAGGAATCATGAAGTTGGACTGGGGACTCCCCTAGAGATAGGGCCCTTTAAGGTCCAGATAGCCCCTGTGCCCATAAGCAGGGGTCAGCCCTGTTGGTGCTCTGTACACCCCTGCAAAGGTACCATGACCTCTTGTGGGCCCCCAGCTTCTGGAGTGGATCCGGCGCACCATCCCCTGGCTGGAAGACCGTGTGCCCCAAAGGACCATCCAGGAGATGCAGCAGAAGCTGGAGGACTTCCGTGACTATCGGCGTGTTCACAAGCCGCCCAAGGTGCAAGAGAAGTGCCAGCTGGAGATCAACTTCAACACATTGCAGACCAAGCTGCGCCTCAGCAACCGGCCGGCCTTCATGCCCTCTGAAGGCAGGATGGTCTCAGTGAGTGCAGGGGAGGGGGGCTCTGGAATAGCTTCAGGCTTTATCTCTTAATCAAAACACACAGCCCCTGGGCCAGGGATTTAGCTCAGTGTTTCTGCCACCTATCTCGAAAGCACAAGGTCCTCAGTTCAATTCCCGGTACCAAAATAAATAAATAAATAAATAATAATAATAATAAAATACACAGCCCTTGGTGTGGATGAGGTTGTGCATCGCACTGCCACATTTCCCCACTCACTCCCTAGGTTTTACACCCTGAGTTTTCCAGATTTCCCAAGAATCTGGACTGCCCTGCCTCCAGGACCAGCAAGTACTTGAGGCCCTTTATTGGGGAGGGGCAGTGCCCCCTGAACTGTCACCTTCAGCTCGCATAGCCTTATCTGTGGCAGTCTCCTATCATTCATCCACTGGTTCACAGATTCCCAGTTAATCTGAAAGATTGATGCAGTGTGTGTGGCCGGTCTAGACACAGCAGCAAAGTCGGATGGGATCCCCATGGTAGCCCTTCCTTCTCCCACCCTCGCAGGACATCAACAATGGCTGGCAGCACCTGGAGCAGGCCGAGAAGGGCTATGAAGAGTGGCTGTTGAATGAGATCCGAAGGCTGGAGCGGCTCGACCACCTGGCAGAGAAGTTCCGGCAGAAGGCTTCCATCCACGAGGCCTGGACCGACGGTATGGGCCTCCTGCTCCCTAGAATCTTTCGTGGCTCTCAGACACGTTCATGCACCTGTGCACACATGCACGCACAGTACCTCTACTGTGTAGGCTCTATTTATCGGTCCTTTTCCTGTGTGTCAGAAGTGCTGTTTTAGGCTTTATCCAGCCCCAGGAAACAAAGCACACTTGTTGCCATATCCTCCTTAGCGCCCAGTCTCCTCGGGCCTCAGTGGTTACTCACAGAGGGCAGCTATCTGGGTCATCAAAGATCAGTCGTCCTGGAACACAGCCAAGCCCCATCCTGCCCCCTTACCCCCAGCACGGCGTTTAGTCTGCCTCCCCATCCCACACCCTTGTGGCTGTGGGCTTCACATTGAGAAGCCCATGCTGGATGGGTTTGTGTTCCCCAGCTTATTAAAGGCAAGGCCAGGCCAGAGAGCTGCCTCCTGCCTCCACTGCCCGACCCACAGGCTGCTCGGTGACTGCCAGACACCCTGCGAGCTTCTTCTCACTTCCTGCCAAGCCCACAGCTTCCTTCCTGGGGCCCTGGCTGCCACAGGATGGCTTCTTCTAAAAGGACAGTGTCACCTCCTGGTTCTCAGCGGCTAAGCAGCTGCCTTTCCCTTTGCCTCAGGATGTAGAATTCTATCACATCCCTGGCTCTCTGTTGAGACCCACGCCATGGCTGAGATTCCACATCCCAGGAGTCTAAAAGCCCTTAGGAAACTGCCAGCGCCTGGGAAAGCAGAAGAGCTGGGAGTGTGGTGCATTGGAGGCTCTGGGTTCAATCTCCAGCACCACTAAGAAGTCCCCTGGGGCCAGGGATTTATCTCAGTGGTGCCACTGCCTGCCTTGCAAGCACAGGGTCCTGAGTCTGATTCCCAGTACCAAAAAGAAAAAGAAGTCCCCACAGGACTCTGCTTGTGACTGCCGCCTTCCCAGTTGTTCCTTGGCCCTTCTGCTTCTGCTGCCCAGCTGAGTCACACTTCCTTGCCTGCTCCGTGTGATTTCTCATCTTGCACCCTCAGCTCCCTGTGAGATCCTCACTGAACCTCCCTCCGGGTACCAGCTGTGTGAGCAGGCAGCCCCAGCTCTGGCAGCTCTGGCCGGTTGCTGAGACGCCCCTCATAGGCACCCATGAGCAAAAGCCACAGGCCCAGGCTCCTCTCACTCTGTGTTCCTGGCTGTGGCATAACTCTTGTCCTCCTCGGGTTAGCTCAGCCCCCTTGTTCTCCAGCAGCCTCTGCCAGACCCAGAGAACAACCCTAATCCCTTCCTGACAGGGATAGAAGGCAGAGAGAACGACGGTGAGGTGGGGGAGCAGGCCCCTCCTGTGACTCCCAGAGCCGGTACCTATGCAGGTATTGGCCGGGATGCCATTTTGTGGGAAAGCAGGGTTGCTGTTTAGTTCATTTGTTCATTCATTCAACAGACATCTCAAGCCACCTCCCTGTGCACAGGATTCCATTATCTGAGGCCCCTCCGTGGGGAATCCCTACGGCCAGCAGGTTTCCACATTGCTCTTGTCAGAGGTCCCCTGGGTGATAGGGATTTTTTAGCACCTGTGTCCCACACTCAGACTGAGATGGCTCCTGTGCTGCACCTGGGCCCTCCATTGTGTCTGGCATCATCCCTGTGGCTTCCCCTCCGCAGAAGCCCTTTATCATCCACCTAGGGCTCCAGAAGGCCCTGGGAAGATGGATACTGAGGTCAGGGGAGCGAGTGTGAGTTCTAGGACTGCCTGTGGAGCAGCCCTCTCCTGGGGGCCTTTAGAAGGCAGCTCACCTGGTTCAGCAGCCTCCCCTTAACCTTGCTCCACCTTGCCTGGCTGGGACCCACCTGCAACCCCCTGCAGGCACTTTGGCATCCAGCCCTGACCCTTCATAGCCCAGATCCACCCCCACCTCCCTTGCAGGTGGCCCACTCTCCTTCCCTAGACCTGACTCCTCTGAACTGCCAATTACACAGACCTAAGGACAGACCAGCCTCAAGGCTCCTTGGCCCTATTAAGATCCAGTTAGGGCTGCCTTCTCAGCCCCAAGTGGGGGCTTCAGGGATGGCTTGGGCCACCCTCTGTGCCCACACCCTGCAGGGGTGAGGGTTCATGTGAATGCTTCCCAGGGGGACTGAGATTGTTCAGGGACAAAAACATACCAGCAAGCCCTTCCCTTCCTTCTTGACCTGCTTCCTGATTCCTCTCAGGCACCCTGGCCAGCTCCTGCCAAAACTGCTGAGCAAGAGTACTAACCTGCTGCTTCTAGTTCTCACACTTGGGAAAAAGCAGTTTGGAGTTGCAAGCTTGCTTTCATGGCTAAGCCTCCTGCCCCAGAGCAGGGCCAGTGGTCAGTCTCCTGGGCAGCCTACCTCTTGCCTCCAGTGCCAGGCCTTGTTCTGGCCTGGGGGTGGTTACAAGGCAGGTGAGACAGGGTTGCTGAGTTGAGGACAGCTCTGGTTGGCTCCATGCCTGCCATTCTTGAACATCACCTCCCTGAAACAGAATAGCCATGCAGGGCCATGCGGGTGCTGCCGTCAGCCCATCTTGGAGGTGGAGGGTCAGACCCAGGGCTCCTGGTCACTGCACTGGGTGGACATTTGTTTGTCTGGGTCTCTGGGGCAGAGCTGAGGGGATCCCTGAGCTGTCACTCCAGGGGAGTTTGAGGCAGTGCACCTGAAAGGGCCCCTGTAGGAACTGACCACCTTTCCGGGCTAGTATTTTCCCTTCAGTCCCTTAACTTGCTTGTGGGGCTAGCTTGAGCTTTTGTTCTGGGGTGTATAATTAGCTAGGCTCCAGGACTAACAGCAGTGTTCCTCCCTGCCTTCAAAGGGCCGAATGGTGGGCCCCACCCTTTTGCAGAGAAAGCCTTGGGACAGTTGGTGATGGCAGAGGTGTGATAGGACTGCCACGTGGGAACTTAGTTTTGAAGAGCCAGGAGAAGACAGGCATAGGGCCAGGCCCCTGGAAGAACCCACTCTCCATGCTGCCCCATCTAACCTGCCCTCCTGGGGCATGGCTGCAAGTCCAGGGTCTTTGTGACTCACGGAGCTCCATGAGTGTCTAGCTTTCAGGCCATAGTGCAACCACCTGGGTCTTACAGTCTCTTACCAGTAAAGCGCACTAAGTTTAAAACATGTGGGCTGAGTTGAGATATTTGTCTCTGATCCACAAACTCCAAAGTGCTTCCTAGGTCTGTCTAGCACGTAGTGGAACCTAGAGATCCATCCGTAGACGATAAGATTCTGGAAGTTTTTGGCTATCTTGGCACTATCCTCAGCAAGGAAAAATATGGAGTTTGCATGCATCTTGCCTCCTCCTGATTGGACACACACACACACACACACACACACCTCCATTCCTGTCCCATAGCCACTCTGCTAATGTCCGTGTGCCTCTCTGCCCCCACCACAGGAAAGGAAGCCATGCTGAAACACCGAGACTATGAAACAGCCACCCTGTCCGATATCAAGGCTCTTATCCGAAAGCATGAGGCCTTCGAGAGTGACCTGGCTGCACATCAGGACCGCGTGGAACAGATTGCAGCAATTGCCCAGGAGCTTAAGTACGTGTGGACCTGGGCGACCCATCCAGTGCCCGCTCCAATACCCTGTCCACTGTGGTTGAGCCTGCCTGGAGGCCAAGAGTGAGGTCTCCAGACCTTGCAGATACTGGGAAGCCAGGAGGTCTTATGGGATGAGGCCTTCAGCCCAGCCTGTCTCAGCCTGGGATGAGGAAAATAAGGGACCTAGACTTTCCAGCAGAGGGAAGTCTCTGGCTGCTTGTCCAAGACCTCAGGTTTTAGGGGTTCCTGGGGCCCCACTTCCCCTGCTGCTGTACCATGTAGGCCCCTGGCCCTGATGGGGCCGTCTACCCTTCCCTGCTCCCAGCCACTCCCTGAGGGAACAAGGCCTCACAGTGAGCCCATTGTTGCACTCCGCCCCTTCCTTCTTGCTCAGAATACACTTATTGTAAGGGCTTCCAAGCAGCCGGGTCCTTCCCCTCCCTTCCCTACCCCAGTCAGATAAACTTGTGCATACAATTAGTACACTGAGCCTCTGGAGCAAGTGAATGAGACCTTATTCCAACAGTGCAGCCGTCAGCAGCAGGGAGGGCCCAGGGAGTGGGAGGCCTAGGCCATTACTTCATGGAAAATCCACAGGCCCTGGAGGGGCAGTAGGGATCCCAAAATAGTCATCTGCTCAAAAATAGACTCCTTGGCTGGAACTGCCCTTTACCCAGATGCCCCCACCCCACCACAGTCACCCGCAAAACTCTGCTGTTCCTGCAAGGGTGGTGCCCAGGTCTGATGCCAGGGGAGCCCTGGGTGGAGGGGCTGGTTTCCTCCCTGGTCCTCCTTCCCCACTGCCTAGCTGCTTTAGGGTCCATATTTGCTTAATAGAGCCAGAGGACGGTGGGGGGTCCTGTATGTGCAGACAAATAAGAACAAGGCCACAAGTGCAGGGCCACAGCGGGTGGAAGCTCGTGGGGAAAAGACCTGAAGTGGATGCTGGGCCAGCCTGCTTCACACACTGCGTACCAGCCAGGAGCCCTGAGAGTAGAGAGGGAGGGCGGCTTGGGTGCTGCCCTCTCTCCCAAGGGTGTCAGCGAGGCCTAGGAACTGTCTAGGATGAGCCTGGGACCATCCACTGAGTGTTGATTAATGGTGTGACAGGGAACGTTCACAGTGCTCAGAGCACTGCATACGCCAGCTCATTTAATCTTTTTTTTTTTTTTTTTTTTTGGAGAGAGAGAGGGTCTCACTATGTAGTTGAGACTGACCTGGAACTCACTATGCTGCCCAGGCTGGTCTCAAACTCACAGGATCCTCCCGCCTTAGCCCCCCGAGTGCTGGGATTACAGGCGTGCACCACCACGCCTCGCTTCATTTAATCTTTACAGCAGCCAGAGTAGTCACAGGAGGCAGAGGCACTGGGAGACCATGGTCCTCACCCTATTGGGGAGCGGTGGAGACAGGATTGATACCAGGGAGCGTGGCCTTGCACTCTCCCCCAGCCCTCGCCTGTTCTCCAGCCACTGTGTCCCGCCTGCCCAGCTGTGGGCAGCTCATCTTGTCCTCCCCAGAGTTGTTCCTCGCCAAGTTCCTAAGGTGCCTGCTTGGACCCCAGCAGGCAGAGGTCCTGAGGCTGAGGGTAGGTGGCAGTAGAGGAGCAGGGAGCGTTGTAGGATCAGGGTAGCAATAGCTGTCAGCCCAGTGTCTCGCTACCGCAGTTACTCAAATAATAGTCCTGTGCAGCAGTCTCTCCCTCTCTGCAGGGTCACAGGCCTAGGCACAGGCACACTAGGACAGTAGCAACATTAATAAGAAATAGTACAATTACAATAGCATACTCTTAGGAAAGTTAATAGGAATGAGGTCTTCATCTTGAAAGAGTCAAGACAAATATTTTTGGACCACAGGTAACTGAAACTGGAAAACCAAACCCCTAAAGGGAGGGGCAACAACTATGAATTTATTCACTTATTAAGGTCAACTTACTTTTTTTCTTAAGTAACAATTAGTGGCTTAGAATGAGATGACAAGGTAGTTATATGTGTTGTCTTAATGCCACAGTGAAGTAAACTAAACTCTTAATAGCTGTCGCTGCTTTTACCTGCTAGGTCCCAGAGTCTGCTCTGAGCACTTCACAGGCATTAATTAATTGGATCTCTGCAATAACTTTCTTCTCATTTCCCACATGGGAAAATTGAGGTATCTGGAGAAGGGAATGTACTTGGCCTGGGTCAAAAAAGTAAAAAATCCTAGAGCTACATTCCCCGTCTTGGGAGTTTGGTGCACTATTACAGCTTCTACACTGCTATATGTCCTTTAAAACCAGAGGGCAGCCTGGACCCCAGGCCCCACTTTGGGTCAGTAAACCACAGCAGGGAGAGCTGGGTGAGCAGTAGGAGGTTCCTGCCCTGCACCCATTCCTCTTGCCCCTGCCACGGTCCAGAGCAGAGATGTGGTCTGTTACTGCCATCGTACTGTGTGGCCTCTACCACGGGCAGAAGGACCAAGCACAGCCCTGGGTCTCACACTGCCTTCCCACAGTGAGCTGGATTACTACGACTCTCACAATGTCAACACCCGGTGCCAGAAGATTTGTGACCAGTGGGACGCCCTGGGCAACCTGACCCACAGTCGCAGGGAAGCCCTGGAGGTGAGGAGCAGGCCTTGTCACCCACTGAGCCCTGGTTCCCCGTTGCCCTTGGAACGGTGGGCAGGGTGAATGGTACCTACATCCATGAGCTCCTGGCTACCCAGGGGGCACAACCTGTGGCCTCCCTAAATCCTCCCACCTCGCCAGCTGACCTGCCTGCCTTTTGCTGTCCCGCCCTTCTCCAAACCCCAGAAAACAGAGAAGCAGTTGGAGACCATCGACCAGCTACACCTGGAGTATGCCAAGCGGGCCGCCCCTTTCAACAACTGGATGGAGAGCGCCATGGAGGACCTGCAGGACATGTTCATCGTGCACACCATCGAGGAGATCGAGGTCCGCCCTGCCCCATGGCGTCCCCCTGGGTGACCCCTGGAGGGCAGGCTGCCCCTCACTCCTGCTCATTCCCCAGGGCCTGATCTCCGCGCATGACCAGTTCAAGTCGACACTGCCAGATGCTGACAGGGAGCGCGAGGCCATCCTGGCCATCCATAAAGAGGCCCAGAGGATCGCTGAGAGCAACCATATCAAGCTGTCAGGCAGCAACCCCTACACCACCGTCACCCCCCAGATCATCAACTCCAAGTGGGAGAAGGTGGGCCGGGGCCCCTCAGGAAGGCTGGGACCCTGCGGCCTTGTGTGGGCACCACCCCTCACATTTCTGCCGCGGGCCCTCAGGTGCAGCAGCTGGTGCCAAAACGGGACCATGCACTCATGGAGGAGCAGAGCAAGCAGCAGTCCAACGAGCATCTCCGCCGCCAGTTCGCCAGCCAGGCCAACGTGGTGGGGCCCTGGATCCAGACCAAGATGGAGGTGAGGGTGGGCGCCTCACGGCTGAGCCCTAGCAGACTGCCAAGGGCCAGCAGGATTACACGGATGAAAATGGCTGTGCCATCCGAGAAACCTGGCCTAAGGGTCAGATAGACATGGGCTCCAGCCTCCCCTCTGTCTGGTGGTCTTGAGCCTCTGATCCTCAGGTCTCAGCTCTCAGATGGGGAGAAGACAGTTACCTCATTTTGCGGGCCCCATCTGAGTGCCTAAACTCCTAGCTCAGAAGCCACGGGAGGGTTTGAAACACTGCTGGTAGCAGCTCTGGCTGCCACCTACTGAGCGCTCACTATGCACCAAGCAGCCTGCGAGAGCCAGAGGTGCAGTGTGGCTGCAAGCGTGTGTAGCTGGTAGGAGCCTGCCCGTGGCCGGGAATCATGGCTTCTGAATCCAACCAGGCCTGTGTTCCGATCCCAGCTCTGCCTCTAATAGTGAAACTCGTCTTTGAGCCTCGTTTTTTCTGTCTGCAGTCAGGGCCTGGGTCTCTTAGGAGGTCAAGGGCACGGTGAAGTTAGGTCTGTGAAGTGCACGGCACGTCCCCCATCTCAGCTGCTTTGGAGGGACAGTCAGGGCAGCAGGCCGTGGACAAGGCCTCACCTGGCCCTGGCCCCACCTCTCCGCAGGAGATCGGCCGCATCTCCATCGAGATGAATGGGACGCTGGAGGACCAGCTGAATCACTTGAAGCAGTACGAGCGCAGCATCGTGGACTACAAGCCCAACCTGGACCTGCTGGAGCAGCAGCACCAGCTCATCCAGGAGGCTCTCATCTTCGACAACAAGCACACCAACTACACCATGGAGGTGCGCACCCGGCCCCCGCTGCGCCCTGCATCCCCATTCTAAATGAGTTTGCTGGGCAACCGTTTGCTCAGTCACCTCTGCTTGTACTGTTTAAAAGATTAGAAAGGGGGCTGGGGATTTAGCTCAGTGGTGCTGCACCTGCCTTGCAAGCTCGAGGTCCTGAGTTTGATCCCCAGCACCCAAAAAAAAAAATTCTTGGAAAGGCTAGGCCAGACTGCTGACCTGTCTTTAAAGCCGGTTTCCTAGCTGTGCTCCGCATCACCATGACAGTTGTGTCTCTGGACACAGTTCCCTGGGGACCTGGGAGGAGTTACCTTCACCACCCCTACTCTTGCCTGACGAACCTTGCTTGAGGCCCAGGTCCTGTGCTGGGGCAGCGCAACAGCCAGGCCAGGTTAATATGTCAGGGATTTCAGAAGCTTGAAATGCACTCTGGGGAGAGCATCACACCATGTAGCTCATCGAAGCCACAAACTAGCATGGAATTTTGTGTCCTCCCCTTCACCCCAGCCTATCTTTGAACACCAGTCACAAGCTCTAAAATGTTGCCATGTGGGTCCTGGCACATATGTCTAGTGTCCTTGCCCTTGTGCTGTGTCCCCTGGGAGTGAATGCACCCTGCCAGTTCGCAGAGCAGCAGGGAGGCGCCTCAGCCCCATGTCCCTCTGTGCAGAGGAGGTGTAGAGGAGAGCATGGGGTGGGGGAAGAGCCCGGGCGGACCTGACCCAGCGAGCACCACACTCAGGACAGCCGCCGGCACACGGTCACACCCCCTCCCCCGCAGCACATCCGCGTGGGCTGGGAGCAGCTGCTCACCACCATCGCCCGCACCATCAATGAGATCGAGAACCAGATCCTCACCCGAGACGCCAAGGGCATCAGTCAGGAGCAGATGCAAGAGTTCCGGGCCTCCTTCAACCACTTCGACAAGGTGAGCAACTTCCTCACCTGGAGCGCCTTCTCTCCCCATTGTCACTGTCCTCTTTTGCCCTCCTGTCTTTGCGTCTGTTGTTCATTCACAGCAGTCAACTTAGCATCAGCCACCGCAGTGGGCAGGGTCCCAGCACTCTGGGGATGTCGGGTATGAGGAAAGGTGGGGTGGGGAGGTCTCCAAGCTGCTATCGGGCTGTGCCCACGACAGCCTGCCGCTGAGCCCCCGGAACGGTGAAGTTCCAGCACACTCCGATCTGGGTCTGGCCTGGGAACCTGGCCCCACACAGTGTTGTTGAGATTCACGTTTGGTGTGGCAGCCCCTTTAGAGGGGCCTGACGTGGGAGCATAACTCCATTCCCACATGGCCTGGCTGGGCCCACTTTCTCTGCATGGCAGAAACAAGTGCAGTTTCTGCCCTGCACCAGCAGGTGGCCCCCTGATGCTCTCCCCCCCCCCTTGTACAAATCCTGAAGGACAAGAGAACTCTCTTACCTTCTGCTCTGGCCCAAAAGTCCTTGGGGACGCCCCCAGGTGGAGGCCGGGTGAGGGCCTCCTGACCCTCCCATCCCTGGCCATCACCTCGTCTGTGTCACCTCTAACTCTGTGTTTCCCTCCCCCATGTGTCCCCCACCCCTGCCCTCTGCATGTGGCCCTGGCCCCTCTCCCGCCTCTCTTCGGCCTGGTCTCCACACCTCCCCCTGCGCACCTGCCTTCGATGGCCCGGCAGGATCATGGCGGGGCCCTGGGGCCCGAGGAGTTCAAGGCCTGCCTCATCAGCCTGGGCTATGATGTGGAGAACGACCGGCAGGTATGCGCACCCCAGGCCCCAGCGGACTGTGGCATTAACTGCTCTTCTTTCTCTCTCCTTCTCTCTCTCCCCTCCCTCTGCCATCCCACCCCCTGCCATCGTGTGTGCCATCTCACTGGCTCTCTTGCCTCCCTCGTGTCTCGGACACCTTCCCCTTACCTGGTCTCTCGGGGCCTCCTGTTTCCCTGCTCCTGCCACTGTCCTGTCTACCCGCTGTGCACTTGGGGCGGCCCCTCTTGCCTACTCTGGGCCTGGTCTCCTCTGCTATGCCTGCGTCCTGGGAGCAGAAGCAGACAGGCAGCATGGACTCCGATGACTTCAGGGCTCTGCTTATCTCCACAGGATACAGCCTGGTATGCAGCCTCTGCCTCCCTTGCCACTGCTCCTCCTCCTCTTCCCGCCTCCTCACCACCTCCAGAGCTTCCATGTCCTCGGGGACACTCCCCCGCCAGAGCAGCCTGGCCCTGCCTGCTGCGGGCGCTGCACCTGCGGGCCGGGGTCCCTCCGATGACTTCCTGAGTCCCCTCTGCCCAAGAAGCCTCCAGGGAGAGGGGGCAGTCCTCCTGCTCTCTCCCCTTTTCTTTCGCTTTCTCTCTTTCTTTCTTCCCCATCCTCCAGAGCTAATTTGTAAGCCTGGGACAGGGACAGTACACAGACCCCAGCTCCCCACTTCCCAAGACCATGGGAGGGGAGGATACAGGGACGGCTCCACACCAGGGCCTGGTAGTTGGCAGTGCAGGCTTTACCTGGGCTCACGGTGCAGCCCGCTCTCCTGGCTGTTCCCCTAACGGACTGAATCCACCAGTCCTCACCTGGCTGCCCCTCGCCCACTAAGAGCTGGCTGTCCCTGCACCCACCCCCTCACAGGGCGACGCTGAGTTCAACCGCATCATGAGCGTGGTTGACCCCAACCACAGTGGCCTCGTGACCTTCCAAGCCTTCATTGACTTCATGTCGAGGGAGACCACTGACACAGACACTGCCGACCAGGTCATTGCCTCCTTCAAGGTGCTGGCAGGGGACAAGGTAAGTGAGACACCCCTTGGAGGCACCAGAGTGCGGGAGCTCTCAGCCATGAGGCTGTGAGGGGCTGAGGTGGGGATGGCTGAGTCCTGCCCTGCTTCCCCCAGAACTTCATCACAGCTGAGGAGCTTCGGAGAGAGCTGCCTCCTGACCAGGCCGAGTATTGCATTGCCCGCATGGCACCCTACCAGGGCCCTGACGCTGTGCCCGGCGCCCTGGACTACAAGTCCTTTTCCACGGCCCTCTACGGCGAGAGCGACCTGTGAGGCCCGCAGTGACCGGACCACACCCTCCCTGCGGCCTCCCGGAGGGGCCTGGGGCCTCCCCATTCCCCTGATTCTGTATCTATGCAAAGCACTCTCTGTCGGCCCTCTGGGGG